TCTCTCTCTCGCTCTCCCTCTCTCTCTCTCACTCTCTCTCTCTCCCTCTCACTCTGTCTCTCTCTCTCACACTCTCTCTCTCTCTCACAGGCGGCCTGCTCTCTCGTTGCTAACGCTACCGCGCGGCTAACGCCTGCTAGCACACAAACGCGCTCCGGGCCGCCTGACAGAACGCTTGATTGTGTGTTTTGTGTGTTTATACCTGGTTGTCGAGTTGGCTCTGGGTCTGGCCCTGAGTTTGGGTCTGGCTGGGCAGCGTGAAGTCGGTGAACTCGAACTCGGAGCCCTGCGTGTCGGCCCCGAGCAGCTCCGCTTCCTCCGTGTCCAGGAAGGTGAGCGTCTGCGAGCTCGGCCCGTACGCCTCCACACTCATCTTTCCTCTGGCTGTACTGGCCGCCTTTTCGCAGAAAACACCGAATAATCCCTCAGCGATGCGGGGGAATGACCGACCGAGGCGCGTCGGGCGACGTTTGTTTTGGTTCGAAGTGAAGCGAAGTGAAGCGGCGCTCGTGCAGAAATGAAAGCAAGCGATTCCGGAGAAGATTCGACTCCCACTCAAGTGACGTCACGGGCGAGCGCAACCGACGTAGAGCGCACAGAAGCGCTGACGTCTACACACACTTGCTGCTTTGCAGGAAAAGGGCTGTTTTGTTTTGTAAACAAATTGCTTACATTTTTATTTAATAATAAAATAAAAGAAGTTCATTTAAAAATGATTCATCATTATTACCCCTGCAACAAATATTTAAGTAAATTTAAATATTATTAAATATTAAAAGTAAATAAATCTCTTTCACATTTATTCTATTTCTGTCCTTATACTAAACAATTCTGGCTTCAAATTTCAGCATCTTTACTTCTTGTATTCTTTCGGCTATGTAACATTTTAACATTTAACATTTTCATTCTGTTGTTTCTGACAATAGGGAGCAAGAGGATGCCCTGGACTGTATTTGTATGACGGGAAAATTTCACATTCACAAAGCAAGATGCCTTCATTTGAAACTATATTCACTTCTGATTTACTTTTGTTGTTTTACTCATCACTTCAAAAAAATCTCCTCTAATAAAAAAGCCTTAAAAACATCCAATCTTATAAAAAAAAATTCATAAATAACTTTTATGATTGTAAAATAATTGTATATTTGTTTACCTTTTAATTGTTTTTGTAATTGCTTACAGACCATCATAGAGCTTCTATTAATGTGTTGTTTCTGACAATAGGGAGCAAGAGGATGCCCTGGACTGTATTTGTATGACGGGAAAATTTCACATTCACAAAGCAAGATGCCTTCATTTGAAACTATATTCACTTCTGATTTACTTTTGTTGTTTTACTCATCACTTCAAAAAAATCTCCTCTAATAAAAAAGCCTTAAAAACATCCAATCTTATAAAAAAAAATTCATAAATAACTTTTATGATTGTAAAATAATTGTATATTTGTTTACCTTTTAATTGTTTTTGTAATTGCTTACAGACCATCATAGAGCTTCTATTAATGAGAATTCTTTACAAATGGAGGCTTAGCTCTTATGAAATATTATATACATTTTATGAAAAATATTTGGCCCAAATAAGCCGGCTTTGGTTTGGCAAAATTCAAAATACAGACAATATAATACACTATGTAAATGTGTAGTGTGCTAAAGTGACAAGAACAAAACTGTTGTATAATTTTAAAACATAAAACTTTTCACTAGTGATCGCATACTTTCTGTGTATTAAAATGAACTGTAAATTATTATACATTGGCAAATGGAAATTATTATACATTTAAGATTATTCATTCTAAATTATTATATTTTTATTACATACACTCTGGCGTTTAAAAGTTTGGGATCAGTAAGATTTTTATTACTTTTTAAAGAAGTCTCTTCTGCTCACCAAAGCTGCATTTATTTGATCAGAAATACAGAAAAAAATTTAATGTTGTGAAATATTATTACAATTTAAAATAACAGTGTTCTATTTTAATATACTTTAAAATATCATTTCTGTGATGTGCAGCTGTATTTTCAGCATCATTCCTCCAGTCTTCAGTGTCACATGATCTTCAGAATATGCTGATTTATTATCAGTGCTGGAAAGTTTTTGCTGCTTAATATATATATATATTTATTTTTGGAACCTGTGATACTTTTTTCAGGATTCTTTGATGAATAAAACGTTAGAAAGAACAGCATTTATTCGAAATAGAAACCTTTTGTAACAATATAAGTCTTGACTGTCACTTTTTATCAATCTTACACATCCTTACTGAATAGAAGTATTAATTTCTTTAAAAAAAACTAAAATTACTGACCCCAAACTTTTGCACTGCAGTGTATATAAATGTATAATATAAATATAAATGTATCTTATAAATGTAAGATTTTGGAATAAAAAACAACTATTAAAAATAAGGCAGAAATCTTTTATTGAGAGCTACAGTTTGTAAAAAAAAGTTGTGGCAAATAAGAAAACGCAACATAAAGAGTGTCCACGTGAATGTGGGAATAATAAGGCATACATAATAATCACCTCTGTAATAGATGTCAGAACATTTAATACAATAAAATGGGTCAATTGAAAAATAAATGCTGAAAATGAGTGTTTTTAGGCATCATCAGTTTGGTCCACTGGGTTTGTGTTCGATAAGATTCCAGTAAAAACCTTAGAAAACGAGCTAAAGAAAAGTCATACGCAATTCAAATTACATTTTATAATATCAATTAATGGACTGAGAAATGATGGTGTAATATAAAATAATATGATATGCAGCATTTTGCAGAGTATGAAAGAAATGTAAGGAGAAAATCTTGAATAACGTCCGCTGAGAGAAGACAAACATCACCTTACAATCATCTCACGACTTCACATTTCATATAATTCACACACATAAAAACCAAACTGTCCAGGTCTCAACAGTGCTGATAGAATTCAACCTTACATTACTCAGAAGGCATCAGGTTCAGGTGTCTTTGTGTTTTATGTGGGACCCTGTACATAATGAGCTTGAAATGAGGAAAAACATATAAAGTCTGTGTATTCACATTGGCACGTTAATAACCAGACAGACATGGTTATTATCTCTTTTATCACTGTCCAGCAGGCAGACCATAGCTTTTATTTGCTCATAATTTGAGGTCTTCTCTACAAACCCACCCTTTAGACCTGCTCTTCACTCTGTGATCAAATAAACTGTAATAATGTTTATACTTCTGTCCAGTGTGTGTTCGGGGTACAACTGAAAACTGCAGATGATAGAGACGTGTTTGAAACAGTTTTATTGAACTATCATTGAAATACTATTATAGTTTTAATTAACATTTTTTATTAGTTTTGTGTAAATGTTTCCATTTTCATTTTTGCTAAAGTTTTTGTAATTTAGATGCTTTTTGTTATTATTATTTCTTAAATATTTTTAATATCCATAGTTTTCATTTTTGTATTTTCTGTTTTCATTTTAATTTTAGTTAACGTTTTAGTAATTTTTTTTATTTATATATAGATTTTATTCATATTTTAATATTAGTTGTAATTTAATTTAAATATTTTGTCCATTTTAATTTTATGTTTTAGTAATTTAGCCCATATGAGCCATTTTCATATATTTTAAAAAAATGTCTATATAGTTTTTAATATTTTGAATAAGTTTTTATTTTATTATTTTTTCCATTTGATTTAAATTTTAAAGTTGTAGTAATTTAGTTGTATTTTTGTAATTTTTTAAAAAATATGTCTATATAATTTTGATACTTTTTTATTAGTTTTAGTTTGTTATTTTAGTGCATTAATTTAACTAAATGAAAATTAATAATGTTGCCAGGCAACTAACTAGATGGATTTTTTTTCAGTTAACGTTTATTTCACTTCAAGTATCAAAATGTTTAATTGTTTTAAATTTTAATCTGATTAATTATAATAACCCTGGTTTAAATGGCTTAATATTTAATCCGGTTAACAATGATTTTAGAAATAAGACGGCAAGAGAAAACGCTAGTTCTGCCTTAACTGTTTAAAAAATATATATTTTTCGAAATATGGTTCAAAGATCTACATGTATACGTAGTGTTTTCACATCAGAACGGTATTTCTAAGTCTTTTTTATGCATAATACCAAATCTCTGCATGTTTCAAGTGTACCCCATTAAAGTGCTTTCTTGACTCTTTGAACGCAGTCGTAGGATTGAGTCTAGCACACAAGTTGCATCTCAAACCAGTTGATTGATCCTAGTATGTAGCACACAAGTTAAGACACGGATGTCTTCAAATGTGCATGAACTCTTGAGTCCAAGGCGACGCTACATAATTGTGTATGAGACTCGGTCTGTGCTCTCACTGGTCGTGCAGACAGTGTTTCTTTCCCTTGTTGTGCTCCATCAGTTCAAGCAGCTCCAGGATGACGGCCCTGAGGGCCTGAGCGAGCTGCTCCGCGCTGTAGGGCTTCCCAAGAGGAGGAACATGCACAAACGCAGACCTGCCCTCGCCCAGAAACAGAGACGTGTAGTAGGTGTAATCACACAGATACCTGTGGAAAGAGGACGGAGTGTTTGTCAAGAAATACACCAGTGCTCTGCACCCAAATAAACATTTCCTAGAAATGAACTCACCCTCAGGCCATCCAAGATTAGGATGAGTTTGCTTCTTCATCAGATTTGGAGAAATGTGTCACTGCATTACTGCTCTGCAGTGAATGGGTGCCGTCAGAATGCGAGTCCAAACAGCTGATAAAAACATCACAATAATCCACACCACTCCAGTCCACTAGTTAATGTCTTGAAAAGCAAAGAAACTGTGTGATTGCATGAAACAAATCCATCAAGGCATTTTTAACTTCAAGCCGTTGCTTCTGGCTAAAATATGAGTCCATAATCCATAATAACGCTTCCTCCAGTGAAAAAGCCCATCTCCTGTTGTCTCTCACATCAGAATCCACCCACATACTGTATTTGTTCAGAGCTGTTTTGGACTGTTGTAAACGCTGCTTGATCTGTGCAGATTTCTCTCCTGATTCACACCAGAACACTGACTCACTGGAGGAAGTGTTATTATGGACTCATATTTTAGTTAGTTTGAAGTTAAAAATGTCTTAATGCTGGATTAGTTTCAGCTTTTGTCTTCTCCAGATGTTAACTGATGGACTGGAGTGCTGTGGATTATTGTGATGTTTTTATCAGCTATTTGGACTCTCATTCTGACGGCACCCATTCACTGCTGAGCATCCATTGCTGAGACACTGATGCAATGCTACATTTCTCCAAATCTGATGAAGAAACAAACTCATCCTAATCTTGGATGGCCTGAGGGTGAGCACATTTTCATCAAATGTTCTATTAAGAGTCAATCAGCATTTTAAGACAGGCTGGATTCAGGATGCACAAGTTCTCAGACTCACTATCTTTAATTGGATTGCAACATTTAGGACTCATATAAACAGAACTTTTGATATTTAAAATCAGATTGGATTCATTCCGACTGTTTTAAGGTTGTTGGTTGGTTTTATTTAAATGTATTGCCATATCACTTTCACAGCTTATAACATGGCAGATACATATTTAACAAACAACTCAAATAAATATG